CCTGGCCTTGTCATTGAGGTTCTGCCATCCTCTGGGAACAGAGCTTCAGCCTCATGCTCCTCACTAGGGGGTCACAGTATGGCCACATCACAGAAGAGCACAGAGCTTAGGCTTTCTAAGGAAAATGAGGACTGGGGAGATAGCTCAGCGGTCTACGCACCTGCCTGCCAAGCGCAGGGACCCAGGTTTGATCTCCAGCACCACATGCCTTGCTAGCCCTGTCTCTGGGCGCACTGAGCTGGCCACTGAAACTGGACGTGGTGGCGCACACCTGTAATCCCAGCGCTGGGAAGGCTGAAACAGGAGGATCACTATGAGTCTGACCTGCATAGTGAGACCTTGTACTAAATACATAAGATAAAAAAAAAATTTAAAAAAAGGAACACTTTCCCTGGAAATTTGAAACTATGTTTTGTTCCTACTTACATCTCAGTTATCGGACTGGGTTCCCATTACAACCCATAATTGCAAGGGGCCAGGGAAAGATGAGATTTTTTTTTTTGAATACTGTTTCCTCTAAGTAAGTGCTTTGCTAGTAAACAACAGGACAATGTTTATTAGGTAGACAATCTACAGTACATGCGAAACAATATATTCTGTGCTAAAATACAAATATATTTTAGAGACAAACAAGGGCCCTTCAGCAATGGGCACTTGAGAAGGTTTCTGAAAGGACAGATGTTTAGAATTTGGCTAAGTAGAAAGAAAGGCCAAGGAAATTCTTTAAAAAGATAAAAGGAAAAAAAAAAAAAAAAAAAAAAGAACAGGAAGACAAGAAAATGCCCCCCAGGGTGACACTACAGGAAGATAGGAACTTCAGGAGGTAGGGTCTAGGAGGATCTGGAGGTCTTGCGTGTGTTCCCTCAAGGGGACAGTGGGCCTCAACCGCTTTCCTTGGCTCCTTGACTTTAAAGCACTCTGGGCCACAGACTCAAAGCAACCAGGCCGTGTTAGTTTCCTGTGGCTGTGATAAAATACCTGAGACAATAAACTTGTAAGGAGAAAGGTTTGCTTGGGCTCACGGTTGTGGAAGTTTCAGTCCAGGCTCGCTTAGCCCTGCTGCTTTTGGTCTTCTGGGCAGGCAGTGCATCATGGTGGTAAGTGTATGGCAAAGAAAGCCACTCACTTCATGGCTTCCAGGAAGAAGAAAAGGGCTTATGGTCCCAGTGTCCTCTTCAGGGGCACAGCCCCAGTGACCTAACTTCATCCCACTGGGCCCCTCCTCCTGCAGGTTCTGCCATCCCCCCAAGAGTGCCACAGGCTAATAACCACAGCCTTCAGCGGTACATGGGCCAATCAGCTATGGGCTACAACCTTAACATTATCAGCCAAAACAAGTTTTTCTAAGTTAATTATCTCAGGTTTGTTTTGTTTTGTTTTGTTTTGTTTTGCAGAATCAGGGATTGAACTCAGACCCTTGCAATTGCCAGGGAAGCACTTATTCTACTGAGCCATCTCCCCAGTCCCAATCTCAGGTATTTTTTATAGCAATGAAAAACTGACTAATATGGCCTTATATGTTTCTAACCATACAACTAAGTCTTTAAAAGAATTGCAGTATGAGGAACAGGATATGGACAAAGAGCCAGGCGTGGTGGTGCACACCTGAAAGTGCAGGAGGGTCACCATGCATTCGAGGCCAGCATGGGCTATACAGTGAGTACAAGGGTGGCTTGAACTACGTAGCAAGACCCTGTCTCCAAAAAGAGGGGGGAAAACCCAAGAAAGATATAAACAAAAGATTCAAATAAATATTTCACCAAGGCAAGCTCACAAATGGGCAAAAGGCATATGAAGACATTCATTAATCATCCAGGAAATGGACAACAAAACCACAAGGTACCACTTCACAACCAGCAGGATGACAAGAATCAGAGTCAGGAAGGCCATAGAGACACTGGAAGCCTCATACACTGTTGGTAGGAAGGTAAAATGGTACAGCTTCTTTTGGAAAGCAGCCTTGGAATTCTCAAATAATTAAACATAGAGTTACCAAGCGATCCAGAAGTTAAATAAAATGCATAAAATTACAAAGGAAATGCATCTTATTAAAATGCCGTTATTCTGGACACCTACATACTAAAAACAAAAATACATCTAAATGTAAAGTGAAAAAAATATATAATGCCTAAAGGATTTCCAGGGAGATGGCTCAGGAGAATAAGCGCTTGCCTGGCAAGCGCAAGGGCCTGAGTTCAACTCCAGGTTCTGAAAAAACAAAAGTCTTATCCCAATAAACAAAATGGGCTCGGGAAATAGCTCAGTGGCATAAGCACCTGCCTGGAAAGTGCAAGGTCCTGAGTTCAACCCACAGTGCTGGGGGGGAAGGAGGAGCCTGAAGGATAACATAGGAGGCCATGTAGATAACCTTAGGGCTGATAATGATTAGAATACTTACTGAGAGAAAAAACATCATGAAAATTGAAAGCTTATCTGTTAAGAGAATAAAAAGACAAGCTACATATCAAATGAAAAATCTCTAAAAAAACTACCCGCTAAAGGACTAGTATCTTAAAATACAAAGAACTATTACAACTCAATAATAAAGCTCAAAAAATCATTTAAAAAAGTGGGTAAAAATTCTAAGCAAACACCTCCTTTCATAGAGGTGACTGAAATATGTGACAAGGTGGTCCACTTCATGTTATTAGAAAACTGCAAGCGAAGACAAGGCAGGAACAGCACACACTCACTACAATGGTCAGACAAAGCACTGACATCATCAGACCCTGGCGAAGGCAGGGACAGGAAGAGCGCTCACCCACTGCAGCTGGACACGCAAATGGCCCAGCCACCTCGGAGACACCTTGGCAGCTTCTTGGAAACCAAACACACACTTACAATATAATCCAGCAATCACGCTCCTTGGTGTTTAACCAAGAGACCTGGAAGCTTATGTCCACACAAAAGCCTACACACAAGTATTTGTAACAGTCATAAATGCCAAAATTTGGAAGCAGCCAAGATGTTAATAGTTCAAATGATAATCAAACTGGTATATCCACTCCAAGGAATACTATTCAGAAAAATAGAAAGGACTATCAAGCCATCACAAAGGGATGGGAGAACAATATGCTTAAATGCATATTGTTTAGTTAAAACTGTGAAATTGGGTCTAGGGAGATGGCTCAGTAGGATAAGTGCTTGACTGGCAAATGCAAAGATCTGAGTTCAATCCCTGGTTCCACAAAAAAAAAAAAAAAAAAAAAAAAAGACAGTGTGAAATGGTTGCACACTGTATGATGCCAAGGGTATGATAGTCTGAAAAAATAAAACTCTGGGGTCAGCATAAAGATCAGTGGGGGAGGCAAAGACAGGTTGGAGGAGAGGGAAGAAAGGATAGGAGGATGTGGTTCTGCGTTTTGCAAGGAAAAATACAATACAGGACACATACAGAACACATGTTTTATAAGACTATTTATAGTAGTCACCTTCCCCCAAAGAATCATATACAAAAAGAGTGCAAGAAATCTGTCTCGGCACTAAAGACCAAAGAATTCGGCTGGGGCCTAGATCCATGATAATGTTCTTCATGAGAGCAACTGGGGACCTACAGCCCACGACAACATCCCATACAGGCTTGCTTCATGGATCTGCGAAGGCCCCAAGGTCAGTGGCAGAAGCTAGAAAGGCTGTGCCAGTGGGCTGAGGGATGTGCACTGGAGCCAGGACGCAACATCAAGGCAAGAACCAGGGCTTCCTTGAAAAGTACCACCGCCATCTTCAGCACCAGTGAGGTCTCGATGGTGAGGACAGTCAAGTTCACCAGGAAAGCCAGCACAAGGTCCCCCAGCAGGACAGCCCAAGGTAAGCAGCAGCTTCCAACGGTTCCCCAACAGCTTCCCGAACACCTCTCCTCTTTTCTAGCTCTGCCTCTTGTGCTGCCAACAACAACCCGCAGGTGGGCCTCCCACACCGAGCACCACACTAGTTCATTTCAGCTGGGTGTTGGCAATCCATCACAAAAAAACACAGGATTCTGCAGTGGAACTATTCAGCATGATACTACAATTGTGGACAAATCATCACATATTTGTCAAAACTCACAAAATGTACAACAAAGAATAAGCCCCAGTGGCCTGTAGTTAATACTGAGAATTCAAAATCGGCTCATCAAATATAACAAATGTATCTGTCTAATACAACATCTAAATAACAGGGGAGGGGTTGGAGAGATGGCTCAGTGGTCTAAAGCACCTATTTGGAACAAGCTAAGCTAAGCAAAGCACAGGGACCGCGGTTCGATCCCCCAGCACCACATGCCAGCCAGCCCCGCCCCCTGGTGGGCTGAGCTGGCCACACACACACACACACACACACACACACACACACTAAATAAATGTTTAAAAAATAAATAAATAAACAAACAAACAAACAAATAAATAAATAAATAACAGGGGACCTGGGCCGGGTGGCAGGCTACTCCTGGTCTCTAATCCCACCACTCAGAAGGCTAAGGCAGGAGCATCACGGGTTACAGGCAGCCTGGACTACACAGCGAGCTCTAGCCCGGAGCACACAATGAGGCCCTGGATCAAAAAGGATGGATGGATGAACGCATGCATGGGTGAATGAGGAAACTGCGGGTAATAAGGGGGCAAGGGAGGAATTCTCTGTACCTCCCCACCAATTCCTCTATAAACCCAACTTTAACTGCCATCCTCCCAAAGGTTATTGATTACAAAAAAGAAACTAAAATACCAGAAAAGAACATCATGACATGGAGGGAATGAAAGCTAAAGCATCCTAAGACCAGAGCATTGCTACTGGTCTGTGTCCCTGCAGATCAAATCCAGCACATGTGCATTAGGCCTGCTTTGGCCTGACCTGCATCTCCAATCTGTCTTAGGAGGAAGGCAGAGATGCTGATTATCTTTAAACTGTACACCAAATAATTCATGTTAAAAATGAAAAGGAAGCCACTAAATAAAGAAAGGAATAGATGCAACAAGTGTTTGTGCTACAAACCAAATTTGTTATTTTTAACTGTGGCCACTTACCTGAGATTCGAGAGCCTCCAGTTTACGTTTCCTGGCATGGAAAGCTTTACTCGGAAAAGCCCAGTAATAATTCGAAGTTCCAATCCTCTCACAGTCCACCATACCATCATCGACTAAGCTTTGGAGAACTTCTTTTACTGACATAGCAGCTGAGCAAAAGAGTTTTTAAAAGACCCCAGTAAAAAACAGTGTAAATGAAATTAAAAAGCAAATAACTTTTGGAAAAAAACTGTATTTCAAGTTAATACATTGCAAAAAGCTCTTAAAATAATAATAAAGACAAGAAACAAAAAATACATTGATAGACATCAACAAATGTATAAGGATAATATATAGGGTCAATGCCAGTGTTAATTGAAGAAATGAAAAAATAAAGCAATGAGATATACCTTCCGACCAATTAAAAACATCAAAAGTATAATACGGGCTTCAAGGAAATGAATACTCTCAAATGGGTAGAAAAATGTGGAACTACGTATTTAAAACTGTAGATCTATGTATTCCTTTCATGGCAAAATTTCACCTTAGAAATTCATCCACAAAATATCATGATGGCTATCTACACTAATGTTTGTCAAAGCAGCGGAAAAAATGGCAACCAATCTACTAAATGGATTTTTAAAAATATTGTGTAATTTATGCTATAAAAATGTTTAATGGTATAGGTGTATGGTGAGATATTCAAGTCATATTACACAGAATGTATTATATAAAAAAGTTAAACCCCAGTGTACACCAATGTGATAGCAGCTATCTTTAGATGGTAGATTAACAACCAATTTTGACTTCCTTTTTTCCTCTCCAGTAATAAGCATATATTATCCTTTGCTAAGAAAATTAAAGGGCTGGTGAGATAGCTCAGTGGTCTGGGGCACCTACTTAGAACAAGCTAAGCTAAGCAAAACACAGGGACCATGGTTCAATCCCCCAGCACCACAGGCCAGACAGCCCCGCCCCCTGGTGGGCTGAGCTGGCCACACACACA